TGATGATGGTAATGTGAAGAAGATTATGATTTCATGATAAATAGATGTTGATGCTGATATTAGTGGGTCAAAAAATGAAAATTTCTTGATTGAACGATAGATTGATTGATTGATTGATTGATTGATTGATTGATTGATTGATTGATTGATTGATTGATTGATTGATTGATTGATTGATTGATTGATTGATCGATCGATCGATCGATCGATCGATCATTATCTGCATAGCATCGGTGTAACCTCATTCAACATCCATCCACCCCGCCACTCAGTAAGTTCATCCAAGACAAATATGGGTACAACCAGAAAGATGCATCATACGTGTCAGGGGCGGTCTACTACCTTTCCATGGTCCTATCACCCTTCCTTGGATATGTTGTTGTCAGTTTTTGGCCGTTTGTTAATATTTTTTTGCTTCGATTGTGTGATAATGTGAATCAAATTGTCTATTCGATGGTAATGGCCGTCTCTAATGTTAAGTTTGAGAAACTAAATGAGAAAAAAAAACTTCGAGATTTTATTTAATTTGAATTGAAAATTTCATTCAAAAATAAGATGGTGCTATATTTGCTTGCACTGCACGCCGGCAAGTGCGTAGCCTTCCATATTTTTTTGTTCTTGTCCGTAATTTCGAAATGGATTAGTGGAAATTTGATCTCTAGGACATCATAGGGAAGAGAGAGGCTTTAACTTTTGCCTGCGCCATCCTCACCACCCCCGTCTTCATCCTCCCGGCAGTCACTGATCTCTTCCCCATCATCCTCACTCTCTGGTTGGGTCTCACGTACTCCCTCGCTGCGGTTGGTTGGCTATTTTTTTAAAGCAGTTATGTGATTGGTCGTTTATTTGGATGGTGTAATATGATTGGCTGTTGTGTTGTTATCTTACAGATGTAGGTTTTTGTTCTTCGGCTGTATTATTTCAGTACATATAGTTAATTCTAAAACATTGCAAAGTATTTATAATAAATGATTTTTTATATAAACTTTAATGACTTGCATGATTTTTACAGCCAATTTTTAATAAGCTAATTTGTCTTAATTAATTATCGAAAAATTGTTCCATTGAATATTTTCAGTCACAATATTATTACGCCAAAATAAATTTGTTCACAAGTTTAAACAATGAAACGAGAAAAGAAAATGTTTAAGATCTTATTCAAATTGAATTAAATTCATTTGTTGGCGGTTTAATTATTTGCCGCCTGCACTTACACGCAGGCGAGTATGTGGCCCTCTATTCCATTGGTTGTCATGCAGTCAGCCGTAGGCACAGCTATGGGACTTGTTACTTCAATTCAGATGATTGGTTCGTCTCATTTAACGAGAATGGCGATTGGTCACATTTTATAATTCCTATTATAATTCCCGGCGTTAGATAGTAAATAATAAGTGATATTTTTAAATTTAAATACGCATTTGTTGAGTATTTTCCAGATAATTTATTACATTGAAATATTTCCATTTGGACATTTCTTTCTCTTTGTCATTGCTTGTAGCGATTCATCTAACCTTTTCATTATCATGCATTTCTAATCATTTCATTAACAAAGGCATTGGACTGTCAAACATCATTGTGGGGGCCATCCTAGAAACAAAAGATCAAAACAAGTGATCGATTTTTTACATATTCCTTTTGCTAGTTTATTCAAATTGCTGATATCGATGCTCTTTTGGTATATTTAATTTATTCAATAAAATACTTTACTACGAGTTAATTAATAATAATAAATCATTTATATCTTAAATCTTTCATATGTTGATACATTTTCGGTAAATTTTTTCTAAAACCACTGCAATTTAACATACATAGGGATTGAACTTTTCCACTATTTCTATGTTTTTTTAAATAAAATTTGCTTAGACCTATCAGCTTCCACCGTTATATTCGTAAACTAATACAGACAGTTTGGTGTTAGGGATTGTTTTACTTAGAGATTTTACACCAACTTAGGCAATAAGTATGCAGTGTTGATTAATGGCTTGATGTTTTATTTTCCAACCAGGGAAGAGATCCTACTCAGATGGAAGTATGTCATGACCTTTCTTCTCGCCAACAACGTTCTCTGCATTCTTGTCTCTGTAGCCTTGAATTTCGTCGATAGAGCGAGAGTTAGTAAAGGTTTTAATATCTGTATTCGCTCGTTTCATTATGTTGTCAAACTATCATTCGGAATTCTCGCTTTTTATCTTCGCCAGGATAAAGTACTGAACTTTAGTCGATCTCAGAAGAGGTAGCTGATTGCCAGCAGCGATGATTCCTTTGATTCTCGAATTGGGAGATCACCATCGACTGATGACGACATCAGAGGAAATGACGTCATAATCGAAAATGGCGGTAGAAAGACCAAGGAGAACGATTCTCTTCTAGGATGAAACATCATTTGCTGACGTCATGTTTTCGTTCAGTTCTAACCGAAATGGCATTTATTCAGCTAGTAGTAATTTCATTAGTCGCTGCTTGTATTCATGAGATGAATTCTAATTCCATAACCTCGAACATCTAATTTTACTCTTTGCTTAGACAAACAAGTTGCATTTCTTTAATATGTTGATTCACTAAGATTTTAGACGTCTTAGTCAGAAACAAATTTATCATTGGATTTAATAATATTCACTATGCAATATTCTCGAGATTCACAATACATTCGGTCAGTGCATTTCTTATTTATTTTGATGTCGCAAATAATATAGACATTCGTTCAGGTAGGTATGTGAAGCTAATTTTTCACACACTATTTATGTTCTTGTGCTTTCTTATTCAAGTTTGTTAAATCCTCGTCTACTAGTTTAGTTCTCACCGTGTTCGTTATTTATCTTATTATTCCTATGTATGGTTATTTTAGTTTATAGCGAATCAACTGTTACAAAACGCTCTGTTACCTCAATGTTACTATTATTTATAACGGCAAGAACCCTTATCTTATGCGTTCATGTATTTACTCTTCAGTATTGTCATTCATCATGCTTTTTGTCACTATTGGCTTGTTTTATTTCATTTACAAACACCAAGACATTTGTATTGTTTGTAATTTGTATACATCCACTTACTGCGTCGTGAAAACAAAACTTCTTCATTTACACTGAGAAAATAAATCTTCTTTGAATAGTTCTTAATGAATTGGTTTTATTTACGTACATCAGTTAGAAAATATCGCGATGTGGGACTAACTTTATGATTTTTTTTTGAAGTATTGCCTCCCAGCTTTTAAATTTGAAAGATATTAAAGAATGGCGTGAATCAATACTCAGCCAAAGACCATTTCAACATTTGCAAAATCCATCGACTTACGAAGGAGAAAGGAGATTTTCCGTAACATTTTAATAAAATTATATCAAACTTATATATAATTTACTCGGACATCTTAACGTAAAAAGCGTAAATGCAGTAACTGGCTGAAAAAAGGAAAACCTGAATGAATTTGGTATGAGATTTCGTCGTATAAGTGGGTAAAAAACGCAAAAAATATGGAACGCTTCACGAATTTGCGTGTCATCCTTGCGCAGGGGCCATGCTAATCTTCTCTGTATCGTTCCAATTTTAGTATATGTACAGCCGAAGCATGTACACCACGTGTATGCAATCATTCCTTTATAAAGGCTATTAAGTTGCAGGATACAATTAAAGGTGTCGTTTAAACGTTTATATTTTTTATACAATTTTACAAAAATACAAATAAACGTTGTAATGTAATTTAATAATATTATTTATATTAACTAAGTAATTCTAGCCAAAATCTTAATGTTAACATTTAATTAAACAAAA